TCCTTCCCTCCTTCCCTCCTTCCCTCCTTCCCTCCTTCCCTTCCTTTCTTCCCTCCCTCTCTTCTTTTCTTTCTTTCTTCCTTTCTTTCACTTCCAGTTCCTGGAACCCTCCATTTTGTCATACTTTATTACCTCTTTTCTGGTTTTGCTGTCTTTCCTATGCATTTCAGACACCACATTCCAACAGTTCAACCATTAATTCAGTCACTCTCACAATGTCTTCCAAATTTGCCCCCCTTTTCCTGTGACATGAATGCTGAAGTGCAATAATATTGGATCCCCATTTATCCAATTCCTTATACTTTCACTTAGGCTGCTGATTACTGCATGAGAAAGTCACAACCAAGTGTATTTGTGTTACTAAGAAGTCCTGACTGCACTATAGAGATGTGCAGACATTCTTTTGTATATTCCTTGAATACATTTCTGGAAATGTCATCATAGCTTGTGTCTGGAGGTCCTCCCAAAGCCTTACATGGTCACAGATGGGGCTTGGACTTTTCATAGGTGGCTGGATCTATAACATGTGGTGCTGGAATTCAGGCTGCATGATTACTAAATTAGTCCATTGATTGGTTTGGCGTAGTTCTGGGTGTGGATAATGGGAAGGCCTGCCCTGGGTGTGAGTGCTATCTGTTCTAAGGGCAGGTAGCCCGGATAGAATATAAGGGACAGAAAGAGGGTTGCTGTTTCCACTGCTTGTTGCTTGCTGCTTGCTACTTCACTGCCTTCTGCCTGCCATAAACTTTTTCTCCTCTGCAACTCCTCTCCGCCATGCCACCCTGCCTTGGAGCCAGCCAATTATGAACTGAGACCTCTGCAAACTGTGAGCTATAATAAACTTTTCCTTCTTTAGCTTTGGTATCAGGTATTTTTGTCTCTGCAACAGGAACAATAACTAAGACATTCTTCAAGTTCTCTTCTTTCAACGTTTGCCTCCCAACGTGGCTTTTAACTCTTACTTCAGGCAGATCATCAAAAACAACAGTAAGCCCATCTGAATTCTTCCTCAGCTATTTGTATTCATCCTTTATCTCCTGTTTTGGTGGAAGGGTGGAAGAGTGATTGTTTTAATACTGCTTTGGATCTTGTTCTCAACACTGATTCATTGCTTAACCTCAGCAATCCTCTCTAACTTCTTCCTCTTCATAAAACTACACTTTAAGCCAAGCATGGAAGCACACACCCGCAATCCTAGCATTCTGGGAAGTGGAGGTGAGTTTGAGCCCAGCCTGGACACTTAGTCATTTAGTGAGACACGGTCTTAAAATAAATTTTAAAAAATAATAAAAGAGAGTGGAGGTACAGTTCAGTGCAAAGGTTCTCATTTCAGTTCCTAGTCTACAGCGATACCACCCTGAATGCGCCTGATCTCATCTTGTCTAATTTCAGTTCCTAGTACCAAAACAAACCAAATCATACAAATAATAAAACTGTACTTTACAATGCTCCCAGGAACACCACCTTTGGCATGCCTAGTTGACGCTGGCTCAGATCTTTTTTGACTAAATCCTTCTTTCCTACTTGAAACTCTCTCCTCTCTTGACTTGTCATCATTATTCCTGCTGTAGACAGGACAAATTACCAGAAACCTGGTGCTTAAGCAACGTAAGTTTATTATCTCATAGTTAGAGAGGTCCGTAATCCAGCATGGGTCTTGAAGGCTAAGACTGATGCATTGACAGAGCTGAGTTCCATCTGTACTTCCTGAGGGAGGAATCTGCTGTCTTGACATTTCCTGCTCGTAGTGACCACCTGCGTGCCTTATGGCCCCTTTTCTGTCTTCAAAGTCCAGCTGTCTAACCTCTGCTTTCACTGTCACATGCCCTCTTAGATGCTAATTCTATTGCTTTCCTCCTATGAGGACCCTGTTCTTATACTGACCCTACTTAGATGCTTCAGAATCATGACCCACCTCAGCACCTTTAGCTTAATCATAGCTATAAGGCTCCTTTTGCTACATAAAGTAATACATTCATAGAGTCTAAGAATTCGGATTTAGAGCCAGGCATGGTGGCACACACCTGTAATCCCAGCACTCCAGGAGACTGAGGCATGAGGCCTGAAAGGTCGAGCCCAGCTTGGGCAATGTAGTGACTTAGTGAGATCCTATCTCAAAATAAAAAAAAAAATTTTAAAGGGATGGAGATTAGTTCAGTGTGCAGGCTCTGAGTTCAATCCCTAACACAACCCCTTCAAAAAAAAAAAAAAAAAAAAAGAATTAGGATTTAGACATCTTCCATTCTATCACTAATTTGTTTCTATTTACCAACTTCTTGCTGCTTTTAAAATATGTAACATGTTGATATTCTCCAGAGTTTGGCTCAAAACTTTCCTCCTTTGTCTATAAACGTTTACTGAATAATTTTAGAAACCCTTCTGACTTCATCTACAATTCAGATACAAATGTGTTCCTTAAAGACGTCCCTACCCTTGACCGTCCGCTGAGCTCCAAGCCCATCATCCTGTTAGTTCCCCTAGGTTTACACAAAGGGTATTAAACTTGATCCCATGAAAACTGAATTCGTTGTCTGTCTCCATCCTGCTTTCTTCCCGAAGCAGGTGAACGGTCTTCTCTCGGGAGAGCCCATATCATTTTTCCCCTAAGAGTTTACTTCGAGTCACCCCACTCAGCATCCTGTACCTGGCAGCCGTGCTTATTCATAGCGTCCATGGCTTGTCGGACAGCTTCGTTCGCGGGTTCACACTGCTCCACCTGAGTCTTCATATTATGCTCAAAATAAGGCCCTATCAGAAAGTAGTTTTCACCCCACTCGTCCGCTGTCGTCTTAGCCTTTGTCTGAATCACAGTACAAATGCCTCCAACTGTTAAAAGAAAATAAAAAACAAAGAACAAAGGCTCTTTTATCACTCAGGTAGGTAGTCCACGGGAAGGGATGGAAATGAGTTCTCACTTTTTCCAAGTTAACATTTAGGATTGCAAGCGCAAGGGTTTATTTTGCTTTCTAAAGGAAGAGGGCTGTCCTTTTTTCCTTTGAGAGGTGGGCTCGTTGGCAACGCATTCGGTACCCCTCCTGTCCCTCAGGAGCTATCCTAGTCCCTGTTGCACATTCCTTTCGTCCAGTAAATTTTCCTACTCTTAAAAAAGAAGAGAGCTGGACTAGGGCGCATGATCGCCAACACTACAGAAGAAAGAGGGAAGGAGGAGGAGAAGGGAAAGGAGAGGGGGAGGGGACGGAAGAGGAGGGGGGCAGAGGAGAGAAGGAAGAGGAAAAGGGAAAGGGAGGGGAGGATAGACAAGAACAGCGTTAACACGTTGTCAAGTACAGCACACTAGGAAATGGTTTTTTGGATCATTTCCGTGCCTCTGTTAAAGCCCCTGCTGCGCGCACTGAGAGCGGCTCCTAGCCCCAGCGCCAGCAGGTACAACACCGTAAGGAAGCATGCAGACAGGTGGAGTGAAGACGTGTCAAAGTAAAGACAGTAGCCGTTGTCATGCCGCAGGGCCTGGGCGGGGGTCATCTCTCTCCTGCTCTACAGGCCGTATGTCCAGGTCACAGCTTGCAGCTAGGAACAAATCTACTAAGCTAGACAGATTTTTCTTTTTCTCTTTTCTTTTTTTCCTTTCCCCTCCCTTCTCTTCCCTCCTTTCCCTTCCATTCCTTCCTTCCCCAGTCTTTCTCTCTTTTCTTAATTTTTAAAAATTCTTTTGAAGTATTGGGGATTGAACTCAGGGAGCACTGAGTTATGCTCCCAGGCTACTATTTTATTTTATTTTATTTTATTTCATTTCATTTCATTTTATGACAGGGTCTTGCTAAGCTGCCTAGGCTGGCCTCGAATTTGTGCCCCTCTTGTCTTAACCTCACAAGTAGCTGGGACTACAAGTGTGCATGGCCACCACTGCACCCGGCGAGAGCTGCTCCCTTTCTAAGGCATGCAGCAAGGTACTTTTTTGATAAGGAGAGAGAGGTAAACCAGGTGTGGTGGTGCACATCTGTAATCCCAGCACTTGGGAGGCTGAGGCAGGAGGATCCTTGTCAGTTTGAGACCAGCCTGGGCTACAAAGTGAGCTCAAGGCCAGCCTGAACCGCATAGCGAGACCCTGTCTCAAAAAGACAAAGAAACAAAACAAAACAAAGGAGAGAGAGGTAACAGATCTCCAGGAAAGATGCTTGGCCCCGCCCCCGGGTCAATTCAATGATGCAGATGCAAATTTTCATCCTTGTGTGTACCTCTCTCTTCTTCACGTCACTATTTATTTACTCCCTCTGGCGTTGCTGCTACCGGTATTAAAATATGAAGCTAGAGAAAATGTATATTTTTAGGTCTAGCACGTCTACACTTAGAAAACTGTCCTGGGAGGAGATAAGAGGACTGCCAAGACGTGCAGAGGGGTATCCATTAAAATGTTATCATCATGAAAACTTGGGGGAAAAACCCTTAGATGGAATTAGTTAACTCACTTATCTGGTCTATGGTTCTATTAGTTCATCTGTGAAATGGGTGGTAAACTAGGACTGAGAGGGAAAGACAAGCAGCAGCCGCAGTCTTCCGCATCAGATCTCACAGGAGTAGGAATGGAGCTTAGTGGTACAGTGCTTGCCAAGTGTGCACCCAGCCCTGGGTTTGATCGCAAGCAGCACGTCAGACACACACACACACACACACACACACACGCACACACATAAACACACACACACACACACATTACCTCATGGAAAAAGGAACATTTGAGCAAGTAAAATATCACCTAAAAGAATGAGTAGAAAGGGTTAAAGAATTAGGGAAATAAAGAAGCAAATTGATTTCTTGGGGAATGACTTTCTAGGCACAAGTAGTAGGTAAAGAAAGCCAAGGTTCTCAGTCAGGAGGGTGCCGGGGGGAGTAGCTGGCATTCGCAGGGACTGGTTTGCTATTCAGTTATGGGCAAGTGGGTGACATAAGAAGCCCTGTGTTAGCTAGGCACTGTGGGTGCAGCTCTCATCCTAGTACTCTGGGAGACTAAGGTGGGAGAAGAACAACCGAGCCTGGGCAATTCAGCGACTTGGCAAGATCCTGTCTTGAAATAAGAAATTAGAAAAGGGCTGGGGATGTGCAAAGACCCTAGGTTCACTGCACAAAAAGGAGAACAGAAAAGAAAGGAAACAAATCTCTAAAATTCTGTATGATGTCTTGGAGCTAAGAAGATCCTAGAACTTATCTTCAACTCAGTCTCAAAAAGCAACTTTATTACTTGCATATTGAAAATTTTTTTTTGCATTTTTCACTACTATTTTTCAAAAGGTATTCCAACTCATCTGGATCCAGGTTTTGATAGTCACCGTATTGCTTACATTTCTTATTTCAGTAGCTTAGACTTTAAATCATAAATCTTACCAGTAGCTAAAACTGATGGTGAAATTTTCATCTGTGAATCTTTCCTGAGCCACTCAAAATATAGCTTTTGGAAAACTGCCTTAAGAGAAAGTAGGGCAAAATAGCAAATGTTGACGCTGTTATGTGATACTAACAGGATTCACCAATTTATAAAAGAGAAGAACTAATGTAACTTCAAAGTGGAAATAATACAGGCAAACATTTTTATATGAGCTTATATAAACTAATTGTCTTTAAGAACTTAATTTTTAAAGAAAAAGTTTTTGTCTTTACTAAAAATAAATTTAAACTCTCACTTAGCTGGGTGTGGTGGCACACGCCTGTAATGCCAGCACTTGGGAGGCTGAGGCAGAAGGATTTTTGCAAGTTCGAGACCAGCCTGCACTACATAGTGAGCTCAAGGCCAGCCTGAACTGCATAGCGAAACCCTATCTCAAAAAGACAAAAAAAAAAGGAAACAAAAAACCTCTCACTTAAACTGTCTAATAAGAAATACACTTTCAATCACAGGTCAGATGGCAGGTAAAAAACCTCTCACTTAAACTGTCTAATAAGAAATACACTTTCAATCACAGGTCAGATGGCAGGTAACAAGGGCAGTGCAGAACACAGGAATAAGATGTGCAAAACTTGAAAGTAGCAGCTTCTTGCTTGGACCACAATAGATGTGATTCGCTTAACCATTCAACAATGAATCTAAGTCTTTGTAAATTTTTGTTTGTTTGTTTGTTTGTTTTTGTTTTTTTTCCGGTACCGGGAATCAAACTCATGACCTTGTGCTTGCCAGGCAGGCTCTGTGCCGCTGAGCTAAATCCCCAGCAGTCTTTGTAAATTGATGTTGGCATCAACTCTATGTATTTCTCCCAATTCTGGAAAGATTTCTGAACCACTGACATTCATTATTAAGGAAAATTACTTTAGGGAAATAGTTTTCAAGAACTTTTCTTCAAAGTGTGAGAGGTATATCTTAGCGACATATCTAAATATACATAAGATTTATTCAAAACCACCACTCATAAAAAAGCAAACATTTAAAATTATTTATCTTCTTCTATACACTCAATTCTTTCATCTTATCGAGAGAATGTTACAGAGTTGTGACAGTACACATGTATTAAGTGCCTTACTTATATTTTTATTTTGTGTATGTGTGTGTCTTTTTGAGACAGGGTCTCACTATGCAGTTCACGCTGGCCTTGAGCTCACTTTGCTGCCCAGGCTGGTCTTGAATTCACAAAGTTCCTCCTGCCTCAGCCTCCCAAATGCTGGAATTACAGGCGTGCACCACCATGCCTGGCCTCTATATTTTTATTCTTCAAAACTCTTATTTGCAATTGTATATGTTAACCAGAGTCTTTTGAACAGCCTTGTTTATTAGGTTATGGGTTTCAAGTTCAAATGGACTTGGATGAGTGCAAACACATTTTTGTTTGTGGGAGAAAGAGAAAAAAAGAGAAATCTGTTCCTTTTTTTTTTTTTGGTTTTTTTCCGGTACCGGGAACCGAACTCACGACCTTGCGCTTGCCAGGCAGGCGCTTTGCCGCTGAGCTAAATCCCCAGCCCTCTGTTCCTTTTTTTTTCCCTGTTGCAAATCAAACTAAGGGCCTCATGCATACTAGACAAGTACTCTACCACTGAGTAATGCCTCCGGCCCCTGAAATTCTTTATAAATATTGTATTAGTCTATGCTTGTGACACATTCTAAATGCATTTATCGTGGGGAATTAGTACATACACATATGGAATCTGATCCTGTTTACTTCCCCTTCCCCGCCACTCTCTTCCATCCATCCCCAGGCCCTTTCTGACCTCCGTGAAGTCTATCTCCCCATTTCCTACCATCTCCCTTTATTTTTCTCTTCAAACTATTTATACTTTGGGTTTCTCATGTAAGAGAAACCATGGGACAGTTAGTTAACCTTGAGCATGTGATTTATTTCCTTAGCATTATGAATGCAAGACACATCGATTTTCCTACAAATGACTCAACTTTAGCCTTCATTATAGTAGTTCAGTAGTACTGTATTGTGTATAAATACCCCATTTTTCTTTATCCGTCCACCTATTGAGGGACATACGGCTGCTTCCAAGATTTAGCTATTATGAGTTCTGCTGCTATAAACGGGTATACATGTATCACTGTAATATGATGTCATTAACTCTTTCAGGAAGAGATCCAGAAGAAATATCTACAGTTGAGTCCAGTGAATTTATATGTTTAGTCTTTTGAGGAATCTCCATACTAATTTCCAAGTAGTTGTATGAGTTTACACTCCGACTAACAGTGTAAAAGTGTCTCTTTCCCCCTACAGCCTAGCTAGCTTTTTTTTTCTTTTGAGTTCTTGATGACAGCCATTCTTGATGGAGTAAGATGGAATCTTAGTTTTGTTTTGATGCATTTCTCTAATAGTTAAATTTTCTGAATATTTTTTCACATACCAACTGGCCATTAGTACTTCTTTTGAGAAGTGTCTATTAAAATGAAAAGATAAACATAGTTCATCTGCTATCTCTTTTTCTACCTGAGTCTATCAGCTTTAATATAGATATTTCCAAAACTGCCATATAGTGTATTGATAAACGCTATGGCTATGCTTTCCCAGTGTATCAAGAATACAAACATGACATTTAAAAAATGAAAGTCTATCACTACTGGTTGAGCCCTGACTGTAGATACATCTTTGTCTCTCAGATGCCTCTCTCTGAAGTTTCCCTGCAAAGGGTCCTCTCACCACCTGCTTCACACGCTCAGCGCCAGCTTGTCCTTTTTTTGTCCTCTCCACATGTATTTGTTATGTACTTTTCTTCTGTTTTTACTCTGTTTATTTACCACTTTTGTTTACTGACCCAAATTTCTTTCTCAGAACTGCTAGCTAGTATGCCAGGTGTGCTGGCACACACCTGTATCCCAGCACTCAGGAGGCTGAGGCAGGAGGATCACTGCATGTTTGTCGCCAGCCTAGGCTACAAAGTGAGCTGAAGGCCAGCCTGAACTGCATAGCGAGACCCTGTCTCAAAAAGACACACACACACTCACACAAAAAGAAGTGCTAGCTAGAGTATAAGTACAATGGCAGAGATAAAGTCATTCTTATTTCAGATTTGGAGTACAAACCCAAAAGATTCACCAACATGTATTTTTAATATGAAAATAAACACGGTTTTCTAAAACGCTGAATTATTGTTGTACAGCAGTATAGGCCATTGAGTTTGGACTTCACCTTCACTTTCAAACAAGTACTTTGTATTTTATTGATCTGCATTTTCCCCGAAACAAGATGGGGGCGGTTCTTTAGTGTAAGAACAAAGTAGCAGGCCTTTCCTAAACAACGAAAGATGAGCTACTGTGGTGCATATATGTCAATGAGGTAGTTAAAACCCTAGTTTTCATCTAGAAATAGTGTTGGTGTTACTAAAAAAATCACTATTCTAAAACAGGATAGAATGGACACTGTTTAAAATAAGGGTCAAAAACAAAATAAAATAGGATAAAATAAAAAAGGGTCACTAGCTCTTCCTTTCTCTTTCTCTTATCCTGTACATGAGAATATATTTATAATATGTGTTTACTTATATAAAATGGGGGAAATCTTTACTATTTTTAAAGTACTAGAGTCACAGATCTGGGGAGGCATTTGTTTCAAAATGTGTGATGCTTCCGTCCCCAGGAGCAGAAATAGCAATTATGCAGGTAGGATCTCATCCCCGAGCTAGGCTTCTCCAGATTGGAAAGTGATTACGTGCTCCCTGTGACAATGGATGACAAATATTTGTGTTCCCAGCGCTGTTCTGGTCTGTGGTTCAAATCAGAGCAGCCCATGAAGAACAGGAGAGGAAGGGGATGGAAAAAAGCAATTCAGATATGTGATGCACGTGTCCCGACTCCTCATGAGGAATGTAAACTTTACGTACTCCAAACATGCATCGATAAGCAAATAAAAAATAAAAACAAAGCAACTGCTGTCTCAGCAGTGGGAGGTGATACACTGAGCCAAGCCACACTGCTGATACCTACAATGGTCGCTCCAAATATTTTATACAAGAGTGCTTGTGCCTGGCAACGTGGACGAAAAGGAAGGGGGAGATTAGTATCTGTCCTGGACTTGTGTATGCGCTATGCACAGCTTTTACATGGACTGAGTTTTTATACGATGTGGCTGAGGATATCATTGACCTAGCCATTGTATATCCACACCAGGCAAAGAAACCCAACTCCTTGGGGCTGGGGATTTAGCTCAGCAGCACAGTGCCTGCCTGGCAAGTGCGAGGTCGTGAGTTCAGTTTCCGGTACCGGAAACAAAAAAAGAAAGAAAAAGAAACCCAACCCCTAATTACTGGGTCATTCATGATTTAAGTAACTCTCACCAATACCTTTTATGTTTCTTTCTGCTCTGTGTTTAAAAATCAAAGCATGGAATCATCCTAAAAGTGAAACCTAAACCGGGCATGGTGGTGCACACCTATAATCCCCGCGCTCAGGAGGCTGAGGCAGGAGGATCATTGTGAGTTTGAGACCAACCTGGGCTACAAAGTGCGCTCAAGTCCAGCCTGTACTGCATAGCAAGACCCTGTCTCTAAAAAAAAAAAAAAAAAAAAAAAAGTGAAACCTAGTATGGCAATGGATTATACAATGTCCTTATTTTATGCCTAATTTATGAAAAATTAATGATAATAAGCTAGTATCTGTAGAGGGTTTATTAAATGTGAGGCACTATTGTCAGTTTACAACTGACATTTCTTTTAATTTTCGTAACATCACTATAGGTAGACATTACTACTTTTACTTCATGAAGGGAGAAACTGAGGCACAGAGAGGCTTTATGTTGGCTCCACCATCACACAAGTTATGGTGGAGTGGGGGCTCCAGCTTAGACAGTCTGACTCCAGAACACAGAGGGTATCAATAGCAAGGTCACAAGTGAATGCATGGAGCAACAAACTAATGCATTTTTGAAAGCAGTAAAAGGAGGCACGGAGGAGCATCATAAAGAGATAAAGGTCTTGTGGGGAGGTAGAATGGTGGTGGGAATGGTGGTGGTGGTGTGAGAGCCCATTTGTATCATACTATGAAGAAGAAACATTTGAAAACGATAGTTAAAGGAAATAGGTTGTGTGCGTGTTTTATAGCTGTGATTTTTTGCTTTTTTGTAATTGACACACAAAAACCATACACATTTATGGGTACCCTGTGATGTTTCAAGACATATATGCATAATGTTCAAATCAGATACCTTGCTATTGGTGCATAGAAATGGATAAGCATGTCCCCAGCTAACAGCACACTGAAAGGAAAAGTTGAATGCTTTCTAAGGTCTGGAGCAAGACAAGGCCCACTTCCACCACTTCTATTCAATATAGCACTGAGAACCGTAGCCAGAGCAATCAGACAATGGGAAGAAAGAAACAGCATCCAAATTGGAAAAGCGGAAATCAAATTATCACTGTTTGCAGATGACATGATCTTATCTGTAGAAAACACGATGACTCTGCCCAAAAACCCATTAAAATCAATAAATGAACTCAATATCGTCGCTGAGTACAAATTAACACACAAAAGCAGTAACATTTCTATGCAGAAGTGGTGAATCATCTGAAGAAGAAATCAATCTTATTTATGATAGCTACAAAAACTATACACAGTAATAAACCTAACCAAATTTAACCGAGTGAAAGATCTCTACAATAAAAACTACAAAATATTGAAGAAAGAAGTTGAAGAACACACACACACGATAAAAAGATATCCTATGTTCTTGGATTTGAAGGATCGGTAATGTTAAAATGTTTGCAATATCCATTGCAATCTACAGATTCAATACAATCCCATTAAAAAGTCAGTGGCATTCACTACAGATACAGAAAAAGACAACACTAAAGTTTATATGGAATCACAAAAGACACTGAATAGCCAGAGTGGTTTTGAGCAAAAAGAACAAGCGGTAGACATAGTCAAATATGCTACAACTCAAAATATGCTATTCAGGTATAATAATTAGAAAAGCATGGTATTTGCATGTTAGAACTAGACCAATAGAACAGAATAGACAGCCTAAGAATATGCTTGCACATCTATAGCCTGCTGACTTTTGACAAAGGTGCTAATACTCACTAGAGAAAAGACAGCTTGTTCAACAAATGGAGCTGGGTACATTTGATATCTATGTACAAAAGAATGAAGCTAGCATGGCTTGTGTCTAGATGTCCCCCCAAAGCCTCATGAAGTCAGAGGTGAAGCTTTTCATGGGTGGCTGGATCTAGAGTGGTGATGCTGGGGTCCGGGGTGTATGATTATTAACTTAATCCAATGACTGGTTTGGCATAGTTCTGGGTAGGATTAAGGTTGCCCCACCCTGGTTGTGAGCGCTATCCAGCCTAAGGGTAAGGATGTAATATAAGGGATAGAAAGAGGGTTACTGCTTGTAGCTTACTTGCTGCCTTCCTTTGCCCTTTTCTTGTCATGAACTTTTTCTCCTCTGTGATGCCACTCTCCCAGGCCACCCTGACATGAAGCCAGCCAGCTAGCATGAATGAAGTTATACCTTAAGAGGAAATTATTTTATTTTGACCAACTTGATTTCCCTTCACACTGTATAATTTTGACACACACAGCATTGAAAAAAATTACATTACACCTTTTTTTGTTTGTTTGTTTTTGGTTTTTGATTTGAGACAGGGTCTCGCTATGCAGTTCAGGCTGGCCTTGAGCTCACTTTGTAGCCCAGGCTGGTCTCAAACTCACAAGGATCCACCTGCCTCAGCCTCCCAAGTGCTGGGATTGCAAGTGTGAACCACCACACCTGGCATTAACATTACACCTTTTAAGCAGCTTCTAAATTAAAAACTTTAACTTCCAGTTAATCCTGATTACTAAATATTTCATGTACTCACAGAACGTAGTTACAGTTTCTATTTTTTTTTTTTTTTTTTTTTTTTGAGACAGGGTGTCACTATGCAGTCCAGGCTGGCCTTGAGCTCACTTTGTAGCCCAGGCTAGTCTTGAACTCACAACGATCCTCCTGCCTCAGCCTCCCGAGTGCTTGGATTACAGGTGTGTGCCACCATGCCCGGCTTAAAGTTACAGTTTCTAATTGGTCCTGATCAAATATAATTCTTCCTAAAGTAAAGTACTTAGTTATGAGTCTTTGAGAAAAATCATAAAACAACAAAAAAATAAATTTCTCATTCCTATGTTATTATAACATGGATTTAAAATTTTAACTTAACCTCACATTCTCAGGCAGTTACTCATATTTTCAGCTTTCTCCCTCTTAAACACATCCAATGGTCTTAAGTTTTCATTGCCTGTTCAAAAAGACAACATTCAACGTAACCTAAACATACAGGGTTCAGTTTGAACATTGGCCTCAATTGCTGGCAATTCATGGTCACTTGAGTCACCTGTAAAGTCCTAAATCTGCATGCTTTAGTAACCCAGGGAATGGAACAAACCTTTATTGGTCACCTCCCAAGAAATTTCAAAGAGCAGTAAATCCTCCACAGGAAGTTTGTCCGCGTCCCACTGAGGAAGCCCACTCAGGGACGTCACAGACAAGGATCGGCCTCGGAGCATTCTTCTTCAAGCCCGCTGACACCTTGTTGAATCTCTGCTTCAGTTTATTGGAATCCCAGGGGAGGTGAGCTGAGATGCAGAGGTTTAGAGCAGGCAGGTGTTGAGCTTTGTGAGCGTCTTATAGAAATTAACTGTGGAGAATGAAATCTCATGTGCCTCCAACAGAGCTCCCAGGGGAAGGTAAAATCACAGCGATTTCTGCAATCCTTCTGGTCAGGCCCCGTGAGGGCGATAGCTCTAGCTACTATCTGCCCCAACCCAGAGCAACCAGTGAAATCATCTGGTTCAGGAACTGGGCAGACAGCCCTGGGGTAGGCTGAGCATAACGCAAGGCCAGCCCTTTACCCCTGTCCTTTGACCAAATTCCCACCAGAGCTTATTTCATCATGTCCAGAGCAACCGAGTATTAGCAAGGCCACTTCTAAAGTTTCAGAGGACACTGGGTGGGTGTAGAATTGATTGAGAGGTTTCCCACCCTTCTTCTTTTGATGCCTCTTTTTGGAGCTTTATAAAAAGTACGCCCAATTGTTTCCTCTCAACTTGCAAACTGAATTTTCATGATAGGCATAGATCTTCATTCCCTTTCCTTAAGTAATTCAACAGGTTTTTTTTCCATATGAACAAGCATAACTCTCAGTGTGTCTCTGGGTATTGTTTGTAAAGAATGTAACTTTTTTTTCTTCTTTTGTCTCTTTGAGACAGGGTCTCACTATATAGTTCAGGCTGGCCTTGAGCTCACTTTGTAGCCCAGGCTGGTCTCAAACTCCCAACAATCCTCCTGCCTCAGCCTCCCAAGTGCTGGGATTACAGGCGTGCACCAGCACACTTGGCTAAAGATTGTAACTTTAACAGATCAGTGATGATCAGTCCATATTCTCATGGGGCAGTAAAAATTAATTTTAGTCACATTTGCAAATTTACCTCAAGTATTATCAAATTGATGTAGAATAATTCAGGAAAAGAATTTAAACAGGGGAACAAAGTTGCAAAGAATGTAAGTTCAGAAATATCACCAGGGTTACATTGCAAATAAATCCACATATTTGCTTTATTGTATCTGTATGTACATGTGTGCCAATGTCTTACACACATACAACCATATATTATTCCTAAAAGGAGTAAGCACATTCTGTTTTATTTTACAGATTCAGCCTATAGTCAATATTTTTACATTATACTCTACAACAGACAAATTGAAGCTCATACTAAATATAATTTAAGCTGGGTGCAGTGGCACAGGCATATATTTCTAATTACTTAGGAGGCTGAGGCAGGAAGGTTGTGAGTTTGAGGCTAGCTTGGGAAATCAGCAAGAACTTGTCTCAAAGTAAAAGGTATAAAAGGACTAAGGATTAGCATTTGCCTACCGCATGTGAGGCCCTGGGTTTGATTCCTAGTACTGTAGATTGTATAAGATTAAAGTAGATAACCAGTATTTAACTGGTTACTTGTCAATGCTACTTTAGAACTTTTTGTTAAATCTTTAGCCATTTTCTACGTAGTTGGTCTAACTGACTTAGGCTTGTTTTGACTCAAGATGAGTAAAACCATGTTTCGTGATGTGGTATTAATAAAAATATGTGAGCCAAATAGAGTAACGATTCAGTGACGTGTTTGAATCTTAGCTTTATCTGTAAGTGTAAGTTTAAGTGCGCAGTTTATTGTCTATTTGCTTGAGTTGTGAAAATGTTATAAGGCTAATCAAAAGAAGTAGTAAAATAGCAAAGCTATGAGGCCACATTGTCTGGGCGACAACCTCTTTTACATCATGCTGTGTTTGTGTTGACTTAACTTCCAAGGGTTCTGCAGATAAAGTGCCAGTAAAACCAAACAGAAGGATGTGTTAACGAGTGAGAAAGGGATGAGAAACGACAGCATCTCAAGCTCACGCTGCTTCACCTCAGCAACCTGGACGCTGCTCCTTCTGGGACTGAACAGAGCACCGCAGAGCTGATTCACACTATCGATTTAGGTCTCTAGTGCTTGGTCTGAAATCAAGTTCCGTCAGCCTCTTCTCCCCTGTGTAACCTTGAGTCAATGTTTTCCCTGACCTTTAGTTTGCCTATTAAAA